CGACCTATTTTTGCAGTGACCCTTCAATTTTACATTTCCTCCAGCTATATAAAAACTTGTCACTGTAAAGCATGGTTAGCATATAGCATTGCTCTATTTTTTTTACCTTATGCGTTCTAAAGGATATAAAGTATTCTCCCATTTAGATTATGTCAACCATTTATGGATATAAAGTATTCTCCCATTTAGATTATGTTAACCACTTATCTAATAACAATAATGAACATATTTATTTGCCATCTGTTTATCATTTTGTTGGCATATCTGATTAGATTTTTTTTTTTTGCCCATTTTTTGTTGGCATTACCATTGAATTTTGGAAGTTCCTTAATGCTCTGGCTACAAGCCTTTATCAGATAAGTGCTTTGTCAATATTTTCTCCCAGTCTATGGCTTATGTGCCTTTTAAAAAACAGAATTTGGGGCCCTTCCTGGTAGCACAATGGGCTAGGACACAGCACTGCAAGCTGGTTGCAGCTGCTTCAGTGTGAGTTTGATCCCGGCCCCACAGGTGACCCACATGGCGGCAGACCTCTCCTGACCCGCCCCCTGCTCCCCTCAGCAGTGTACTTCGTGGGTCAGCCTGTTCTGCTCCCCACTCTGTCTCTGGTGAATCCTCTCACCGCCCCTGCACTTCTGGTCTGTCTCCCAGTTATGTATGCATACATAAATAAATCTTTAAAAAAGAAAACAGAATTTTTATTTTCTTGAGATATAATTTACATTTTATTTAATATTATTTATGTTATGTTATTTTACTGCATTCTATTTCATGTATCCTGTTACTGATACTCAATTTGACAAAACTTTGTTTCACCCATTTTGCAAAGGCTTTTTTTTTTATTTATTTATTTTTATTTATTCGTACAGAACTGGGGTACAGGCCAGAGATGCGGAGGGTGAGAGGATTCACCAGAGACAGAGCGGGAAGCAGAACAGGCAGATCGAGGAAGTACACTGCTGAGGGGAGCAGCGGGCGGGTCAGAAGAGGTCTGCCGCGCCATGTGGTCACCTCCGGGGCAGGCGGGGATTGAACTCATGCGGAAGCGGCTTTAGTTTGTCAGTGCAGTGCTTTAACCTGCTGTGCCAACAGGGAGGGCCGGCAAAGGCTTTTTATTCTAGAAATTTCTGTGTGGCTGGAGCTACTTTTTTCATTTATGTGGTTTGTCTCTCCACACATCGCTTCCTGACTAACATCAGTATTTGTTCATCTAGTCATGCCATGGCAGTCCACTTTCGTGGATTCCACTAAAGTGCGAGGTAGTTTTGAAACTCTTCTGAAAAGCCAGTGAGTCACACATCTTGTGATTGTTGTACTCAGGCACACTTGAACACCTCTAGTTTTGTTCATTTTAAAAGTACGTTCTTATGAGGGTCTCATCAATCCAACCTGGGTAGTAGATATCCCCACCCTCAGGTACAATACTAATTAAACTGCTTTTGCACAATTTAGTCAATGATTCAAAAGCTTTTAAATTTGTCCCCTTATTTTCTACCCTGCCCTAGTTTCTTACAGAGTCAACCCTAAAATTTAACATTGGTTTTAAAACATTCCTTCCGCAACCCTCCCTCACACTCAATTTCATGATGCCACTTTCCCCAACCTCCTGTAGCCATTTCACCTGTTCATCCACTGGAATCTGCCAGTTCGTTGATCCCAGACAAGTTGCTCTTGCTGTTCCCACTGTCCCTCTTCTAAGGAATCTCAAACACACACTTGCTTTGTTCTCCAACAGGATGAGTGGATAACTACTGTCACGTTTAATCTCTACTGAGTAGGGAGCCTCCCTGCTAGCTAGGGGGTAGATCTCAGTGCTCTTACTCCTATGGCCAAAGCTCAATCTCCGGCCTGGGAGGTGACCCCCATGGAGCAGCAGACCTCTCCTGTCTCCCCGCTGTCCCCCTCAGCAGTGTACTTCAGTAGATCCACCTGTTCTGCTCCCCCTACTCTGTCTCTGGTGAATCCTCTCCCCCCCCCACCCCCGCCACCTCTGTCCTGCACTCCTGTTCTACTCAAAAATAAATTTTTAAAAACAATATATCTACCAAGTAGGCTTCTGATCCACAGACCATTTACCATGCTGTCAACTCAGGATTTCCACTTGGATGTCCTAGCTGCTTCCCCAATTGGAAGTCCAAAAGGAATCATCTTCCTTTAGCCAAGACAGACCCTCCCATGCTGTTCTTCTTCCACCCTTAGTTGCTGATGTCAGCAGCTCTGTCTTCACATGGAGATTTTCCCCTCCTGCACTGTGCAAATATAAACCAACTATTCTACGCTTTCACACCCAATACCCCTCACATTTGTTTGTTAATCCACTTCCGCAAACAAAATAGTTTCTCGCACACAAAAACTCAACAAGTGTTTGCTAATAACGGTGACTGTCATTGCCCTACATTGGAATAATGCATAATCAAGGGCCAAGGTTTGAATTTTTAAATGGGACCATAGCTAAGGAAAATTGAAGATGAAGTTAATATATAAACATGACCTTGAACAATCGGTGCTATTTTGATGGATGAGGAAAATATGGAAGTTGTTTGAGATGAGTGAGAGAATGCAGTAAGAAGTGAGTTAAACATGTGCGTGGTGAGCATAGTTTGGTACAGAATCAGTGGTGGATGAGGGAAGAAGTTGTTTTTGAAATTTGGCTCTGAATAAGACCGGATATTAAAACTTTTCCGCTGTGGTGCAATTAAGGGTGATAAAATATTAGTCATGTATTTTCAGCCAAATTGTTAAATTATGGAATATTTATTGCTTTTTAAATCAAAGGACACATGAGAATAGATGACAATAAGATAGTTTCCCAGACCTATCATAGAATAGTCCTTGCCACTGACTTCATTACCTATCACTAAGTCTTTGTGATGGGACAACCTTTTTCAAGTCACTTTGTGGCCACTCTTGATAGCTAGCTCCATTTTATACTTTCTATTTTCTGAGTTGTTTTTTTTTTTTTAAGATTTATTTATTTATGCATACAGAACTGGGGTACGGTCCAGAAGTGCAGGGGTGGTGAGAGCATTCACCAGAGATAGAATGAGGAGCAGAACAGGCAGATGGATGAAGAACACTGCCTAGGGGAGCAGCAGGGAGACAGGAGAGGTCTGCTGCTCCATGTGGGTCACATCTGGGCGGGGGACTGAACTCAGGCTGAAGCTGTGGCTGGCTTGTAGTGCTGCGTCCCAACCCGTTGCACCACCAGGGAGGGAGGCCTCTTTTCTGAGTGTTTTACATTTATATTTTTAATCAAGTCCTTGCCTTGTATGAGCCTTTTTACCCCCCAATTTTATCACTCTTCTCCCACTCATTCTCCTCTTACTTCCTCCAGCCCACAGACACTGTTTGTTTATATGTCATCTTAAAGGAGACATACATGAATTTGACGGTGTTTATTTATTTTATTTTGACACTGTTGATATTTTTTACTGCTGAATGCATAACTTATTTTTTTTCTTCTACAAGTTGCTAGGGTTTGGGGAGAATTGGTAATTATTTATTATTTTTTTCTTATCTCTACCACAAACTTTTCCCAGCCTTTTCAAAATAATTATGAAGTTCCACTGAAAATTGTGAACAAAACATGGCAGTTAAGTTATAGCTTCAGCTTTTATTCTTTATTCCCTAGAGGCCTGTACCTCTGCACCAGTGATAGATAAGTAATGTCAAGTCCTACCTGGAGTTCTTATGTCTTTCCAGCATTGAGTACTAATTTCCTGCATTGTTTGTCTTTCTCTTTATTAGCATACTCTTTTCATTGAAGAATATATATATATATATAATATATATATATATATATGTATGTACTTTAAAGATTTTATTTATTTATGCATACAGAACTGGGGTACAGGCCAGAGGTGTGTGGATAGATAGAGATAGGGAGCAGAACAGACAGATGTGCTGCAATACTCTGCTGAGGGGAGCAGCGGGTGAGACAGGAGAGGTCTGTTGGGCCATGTGGGTCACCTCCAGGGCTGAGGGTCAAACTCATGCCTCAGTGGCTGGGGACAACTTCATGGTGCTGTGCTTTAACCCATTGTACCACCAGGGAAGACCTGAAGATGATAATTTTTAACAATTTTATTGTAGTATGATTTACTTACTGTAAAAGGCACTTTAGTGGTTAACTCATAGTAGCCATGATGTAATGTGTAAGATCTTTACTAATTTCCAGAATTCCCTTGTGTTCATATCATCGACCCTTGTCCACATCGCCACCCTCAGACAGCAACCCATGTGGTGGGTTCATGGGTTTCTGTAGTTACCTACATTTTCCAGAATAGCCAGTGTAGTCTTTTGTGTGTGTTTCTTTTATTTTTTCCACTTAGTCCTCTATATTTGTGGCTCATTCACACTATAAATTGTATCAGTAATTTATTCCTATTAATTCATGAATATATTCTGCCACAGAAATATAACATTTTGCTTTTTCATTTAATCAGTTGGTAGATTTTTTTTTTAAGATTTATTTATTTATTCATACAGAACTGGGGTACAGGCCAGAGGCTCAGGGGCGGTGAGAGGCTTCACCAGAGACAGAGTGGGGAGCAGAACAGGCAGATCGACGAAGTACACTGCTGAGGGGAGCAGCGGGTGGGTCAGGAGAGGTCTGCCACACCATGTGGTCACCTCCGGGGCAGGCGGGAATCGAACTCATGCGGAAGTGGCTTTAGCTTTTTAGTGCAGTGCTTTAACCCGCTGCGCCACCAGGGAGGGCCCAGTTGGTAGATTTTTTAAAAAATTTCCAGCTTTGGGTTATTATGACAAATGTACAATGATTATTACTAGATATGTCTTTGAATAGTCTTATGTATTCATTCATCTCATCAGCAGTGAAACTTTTGAGCCGTAAGATAAAGTGTATATGGTTTTTTTAAGGAATTTCAAACTAGTTCCAAAATAATGTGCACTTTGCATACATATAAACAACAGATGAATGTTCCTGTTTGCACATGTCCTTAGCAGTATTTGCTGTTAATGTGTCCTTTGGATTACAGCTGTTTCTGTGGATCTGTGTTGTGGTTCAATCGTCACACTTTGTAACTATGATGTTGAGCATCTTTTCATGAACCTCTTAGCCACTGGAATACTGTTTTTGGTAAATACCTGTCCGTATCTTTTGTCGTCCTCTTTTTTAAACTTAGGTTTTATTTGTCTCAATTATTTGAAAGAGTTCATCATATATTTTAGATACGAGTGTTCATCAGATATATGACTTGCAAGCCTTTGATACCCATTTTTCATCCATCTTTTGATTTTCTTAATATTTGTAGTTCAAAAGTTTTGATTTTAATTTTTACCTATCTACCATATTTTGTTTCATAAAATACTCTCTTTCATGTCATGAATTGTAAATCATTGCCTAATCTGAAGTCACAAAGAAGAAACTACGCTTTGTTGCAGAAGTTTTGTGGATTTTAGCTTTTACGTAATAGGTATATGAACTATTTTGTGTTAATTTACAAGTATGGTTTAAAGCAAGCTCTGAGTGGCTCAGGTTTTCCATTTTGGGGGGCTTGGGGGTTGTTTTGTCTTTATTTCACATATAATTTACTGGTTGCCTTAGGCACAGCTGTTTGATAAGTTCTCCTTATACCACTGATTCACCTTGGTACTTTGTGGAAATTTTTTGATCACCTAGAACAGGTATTTTTTTGTTTGCTTTCAGAAACAAACTGACATTGCTCTGGCAAGCTGATCTATTCTTTAAACATTGATATGTTGGTTTACAGCACTGTGTAGGTTTCAGGTGCACTCTGCCAGATGCCCAGTCACACCTACCAGAGAGTCGAGCCACAACCCCGGCCCTCCTTCCCCCCATTCAGCATTCTCCTTTCCCTCTGGCACAGCCTGAATGTTGTCAGAATATAAATTTTGTCTTGTTTGTTAGCTTTGCTTCTTTCTATTCCACAGATAAGTGAGATCACACTATATCAATCTATTCTTAGCCAAGAGCCCACAGCCTTGGTTACTATGGCTTTACAGAAAGCTTGAGGCCTGATAAGGACCCCACTAATGTTATTCTTCATTTTCAAAATTAAACCAGTTGTTCTGAAATTTTTCCACACATTTTAAGATTAGCTTAAGAGTCTACCATAAAATATGGCTGAAAGTTTGAAAGGAATTTCACTGAATCTATAAATCAATTTGAAAGAACTGACAACTTAATAAATTGAGTGTTCCATTCTGTGACCAGGGTAGGGATCCCCATTTATTTACACCTCTTAAAATTTCTCTTAGTGAAGTTTTACAATTTTCCAACTGTAGGTCTTGAATTCTTTTGCTCAATTTATTAACAGGATTTTTTTTTTTGATGTTGCTGTGAATGAAAAATTGCTTCTTGATATCATCTTGCAATTGTTCATTGCCGGTATATAAAAGTGCAATTGATTTTTACATATAGGCTTTATGTAACCTTGCCAAACACATTTTTAGTTCTAGTAAATTTATTTCTGTGAAGTCCTTAGGATTTTCTGCAGAAAAATTTTATTCTCCACAAGTAGAGACTGTTTTGTATCTTTCTTTTCATTCTGTATGTCTTAATTGATTAATTAACATTGCTAAAGTAACGTCATCCTCTCTGTTAGATTTAAGTGGTACAAAGGGATATGCATGCTGTGTTCCATGTCACAGAAGAGAAGCATTCTGTCTTTCTTCAAGTATGATATTAGCTGAAAGTTTTTCACAGAAGACCTGTTTGAGTTTGAGGAAGATCCATTCTATTACTAGCTTACTGAAAGTTTTCAATAAAAAATGCATAATAGATTTCTACAGATGTTTTCATTGTGATTTTCATTTGATATTCTTCATTCTATTAAAGTGATATCTTATAGTGAATGAAATGCAGATGTTAAGCCTACTTTGCATGTCTAGAATAGATCCCACTTTTTCATAAGACATCTTATGCGTTGCCAAATTTGTTTTGCGCTTTTGTTAACAGTGGCTTTGCCTCTGTTTCTAAGAAACATAGACCTCTATGAAATTTTTGTTTCCCTCTGTATTTTGCGGCTTTGGTAGCAGTAATAATAGCATCATCAGATAATGTGGGACATATTTTTCTTCTCCTCCTCTTGTTTTAAAGTGTTTGTATAGGACTTCTGCATCTTTGAGGATACTACAGGGTTTTCCCCCAAAGTTTTCCTCCTATTTCCTGTTTTTTCTTTCTATTTTCATTGAATTCCACCCTTTCTATTTTCATTTCTTTGAAATTGGAGCATGCCTTCTAGTTTCTTATCATCCTTTTCATTGCTTTATATGTATTAAAAATTAGATCTTAAGAAAACTGATGGCAGATACCTTACAGGTAATCTTGGTCAAGAAAGACACATCTGTGTCTTTGGACATACATCATTTTTTTTGCAGCTTCTGGCCTACACCCCAGTTCTTCTACATAAAAAGATAAATAAATAAGTAAGCAATGAATTGGGGAGAATGTTAGCCTCATGTGTTAATGTGAAGGGGGATAGTTCGGGAGGTTGGCCTTAAAGAGGGTAGAGACAGGAAGGATTGCTTCTGCAAGAACAGAAAGGACAGATCTCCTGCAGGCTGAATGACTTTGAGAAGGTTGAGGAGAAGCTTTTCTTATCTTTCTCAAAAAAAAAAGGAAGAATGATTGGGAGATGTGTGTATGTCAGCAAGTGGCTGGTTAACATTTTATTTGTGACAGATGAGGCATGTTGGACCAACAGAGGAAGGAAGGAAAAAAGCAGAGATAGTTAGACATTAGCACAAGAATGAAATGGTACAGAGTAAGTAGCTGCTGGTGAACTGTGTTAGAGAAAATAATTAATCAAATGTTTCTTAAAAGGGTAAAAATCGGTCCTCCCAGGTGGCACAATGAGTTAGGATTTAGCACTGTAAACTAGCGGCAGCTGCTTCAGCGCGAATTCGATACCCCGCCCCGAGGTGACCACATGGGCCCGCAGACCTCTCCTGACCCGCCGCTGCTTCCCCTCAGTGTACTTGTCTGCTTTGTTGATCTGCCTGTTCTGCTCCCCACTGTCTCTGGTGAAGCCTTTTACTGCCTCTGTTCCTCTGGCCTGTACCCCAGTTGTGTATGCATAAATAAATCTTTTTTTAGAAAGTAAAAAAACAATAAAAATAAAGGTAAAAATGCCTGTTATTCAGGACTTAATGAAGGTTGAGAAAATTTCTTTCTAAAATAAGCAGTTAGGGGTCTAGGAGTTTCTGATTTGGTAAGGGAGTGTTTGTGATTTCCCCAAAATAAATGGATCCCTGAAGCTGAGTGACACTGCCTTCTGAAAATCTTCCCAGTTCCATTAATGGTGAGTTAGGTAGGGCGATGATCTTTGTTGTTTTTCTAACTTGTTTGCTTAGTGAGTGTGTATCTTCAGAATACTACAGCCACACGCCCCGACACACACACACACACACACACACACACACACACACAGGTGCATGCACAGCCTGTCCAAAACCAGAGTGCAGTCATTGTGGTCCAAAATACCATTACCATAGAGAATAAATATCTTCTCCTCCCTGCTCAGCTTTACCCTCCCTGGGTGGAGTCAGGAACCTGGAACCTCCCCTTTCCATGGGGACTGACCTATTACAAATGAATTCATAAATATAAGTATACATAGATTATTCTTTTGCTACTTTGAAATCTTAATTATAGGGAGAAATCTAACAGCTCAAGGATTAGTAAAAATGAAAAATGGAATTTTGTGGTTTTAGGCATCGTGCTTCTGATTAAACTTTGTTTTACTCAACATTGTTTCATAGCAACAAATACCCTTCACTGCCACTTTCATAAATAATCTGGAGTCCTTTAGACATAGAGTCACATAAACAACAAGAAATTCACTAGGAATTAATTGCAATAACAGAATTAATTGCAACACATAAAGCAAGTATACCTTAATTTTTTCAAATTCCATGGAAAAAACAAATTTATTAGTTTTATAATTAATATTCTCACCTCTCAAAGTAAGCATAACTTAGCATGTAAGTTGCATATAAAGAGTGACCTGATTGATAGTTGCATTCTAGAACAATCTGTATATAGTATTCAGTAAAAAACATAAAATGTTCCCTCTTTGCTATTGATTTAAGTTATCTTATTAGGCACAAGGGACAGCCTAATATATGTACATCCAAAGCAGCTTGATACATTTTATTATCTATATTTTACACACAGGAAACCATAGACTTGGATATTATTAATATTGTAATCAATACTTATTAAGAACTTACTATATACAAGCACATATACAAGCACTGGACTATTTACAGATCATATTTCAAAGTAGTTCATGTAACTTGTACAGCAATACTTATATTTTGTATGGCAAAATAATGCCCAAAGGTCACACTTATAGAAAAGTACTTAAGTGGATAATTACGGCTTATAAACACAGGTTCATCTTTTGCCTAAAAATGTGTCCTTCGTATTGTGTCGCATCATACATGTGTGCTTCCCAACAAAAATCCTTCTGCCCTACAGAATTCAGAACTCAGATGGACATTTTATTAGTGTCTCTGTGTACACATTATGTAATTTTAAGTATTATGTACTTATGACTGGACAAATCAAGAATTCACTAAGAGCATGAGTTTTTAGTGAAATATGCTTTGAGGTTGAATCTTTTTTGAGTTGTACATGAACCCCTCAGTATAATTATTGTTGATGTGTTTCCAGCTGCTACCACCACTGCTATGATGTTCTCTATCCTTGTGTGTCTAGTATATATAAGGCACATGGCTGTGCATTTGAATGTTACCACGGAGCTCGCATTTGTTGCAAAAACCATGACTGACCTTAGTCATAGGAAATTAAATTGCAAAGAAGTTTTGTATATCAGTGGTACTAAAATGTGGGACATCACAAGCGCAAACCAGTGATATGCTTAATATCAAGATTAATGATAAAGCAGCTGTAGTGTGATCGGGTAGACAGAAAGATCAAAGGAACAAATGCGAAAGTCAGAAAAGCAAACTCAACATATAGAGCCATGTGGTTCACAGAAGAGGTCATTGCCAGATGACCCTGGGGAGGAAGCCACCCCTGGCTGAGAGTCGTTGCTCTACAAAGTGTATGTGCACACATGTGAGCAGGTTTCAGTGCTTGGGAATCTCTTATAATTGGTAAATGCCTCAGGGATTTTTGGCCTTACATACCTAGTGCTATTTTTGTATATTGTATCTTTCTCTAGCCTGGAGAAAGATTGGAACTAATTTTTGTGAAATTATTTTACCCTCCTACAACAGAGGGAAGTTAATGCCATTTGAGAATGAGAAGCCAGAGCATGGTTGTCAGTGTGTAGTGCAGGAAACCCCATGTGTATCCAGGGCGACCTTCCAGGTTGTTTAGACATGGAAGATGGGTGGCTGGGGTGAGGAAATCCTGACTCCAACAGCTTCACTGAGGTTATATAGACAATTACAAATGTCTAATCCTTACAAGGATTCCATTTGATTTCCGTACGTCCTTATGGTTCTCTTCCAAAGTCTGACCTTAAAATTGATTTTATAACCACGTATTGGATGGCCTTTCAAGCCCAAAACCCTCCCACTCTGCCACAGAACCAAGATTTAGTTGCAGAAAGAATTGTTTAAATAATTAGAATATGCTTTAAAATATACACTCAATTAACATGGATAGTTTGCTGACCTTGTTTAGCCACTGTTGGAAATACAGCAGCGTGATCAAACCTTTTTCTGATGGACCCCTGCTCTCTCTTTTCATACTGATAAGTATTTGATAAGAGGATATGCTTTCAGGTTAAAAGAAATTTCCTGCAATTCAGGTACATGTGTTTTCCCATGAATTAACTTCACAAAATTACACAAAATTACTAAATTTTTACATGCTGTAGCAATTAGCTTATGATTGTTATTTGAAAGCACTGCTGATAGTGAATTTGGATTTGTAAATTTCACTCATTCAGGTATCGGGGGCCACTAATAACATTAATATTAAGCCTCTGCTGCGGTTTCCCACTTCTTATTGACCTGCTGGAATGACAATTCTTGGGATAGGACAATGATGTGCTCTTGTCTTTTCAAAGCAGACCAGCAAGAGGAAGCTAGTTTTCAAGAGATACCTGTGTAAAGGTGACTATACTCTATGTTATGACTCCTCACAACTCAACTATCATGTATACATGAAACTCGGATCTCTTCCTTATCATGTGACTTTTGTAGATTCAGAGTTCTTGTTTTATCCTTCTAATAGCCTGAGAAGGAATACCTCATCTCTATCTGAATGATCAAGAAAGGAACTTATGCCTAACTGTGGCTCCCTGGCTCCCTGCCAGCTTGGGCTTCCAGAGCATGACAAAATCCTCCATGGACTACCCCGTGGCTTGTTCCCTGATAACTCTTAAAGGCTCAAACTTACATCAGCATAATTACTGAATTCCCAATTGATCCCTCCAAGGTGGAGTGCAAAATTAAATACATTTTCAGATTACTTGAGACTTGTAATGAGATATCCATTTGGAAGTTGTTTAATACATATATATACCAAATTCCTTTGGAAAATAAGAAGGAAGATATTAACATTTAGTTGACAACATTCTGGAAGATATTGGTCAACACAGACTCAAGGAAACCTTATGGGAAAGATATGACTTGCATCTGGTAACACTTCCACTTGAAAGATTTTGGAGTGTTGCTGGTTCCGAACTTTTTCTGAGTTACTGGTTATCTACTTAAATTCTTCAAAAATAAGATGTGAACATGTCATAACTAGCTGGTAGAATTGATTTTCACTATTTTTTGTCTGGTTCATAGAACACCTCTCACTCAGTTGGCATTGCTCAGTTCCTTGGTTGCTGCTCATTTAGGAAAGAAACACAGAAGACATGAAAAAACCCTGCAGCAAAACTGGGGCAGTACTGAGAGATACACTTGACAGCGATGCAAAAATGGCAATTGATTGGTGTAGAAGCTATCTATACTGTGTTGTTTCTCCCTAAAGATGTTATAGTATTAATCCAACCTTGGACTACAGTATCTAGGACCTATTATTATACTGACTGCTAATTTGAATCATCACAAAAACTCTCTAAGGAAGACAGTTATTTCCATTTTCCAGATTAAGATAGGGTCAAAGAAAAAGTCTAAGGTTAATTCAATAAAAGCTATAGCCTAGATGGAAATCTGGATCTTTTGCTACAAAAGCTTGTTTTTCTTCCCTGAAAATATAGTAGGAGTGAATAAATAAACTGCTCAATATCAAGATATTTTTATACTGTTTTGTCTGTGATAGTGTCTGCTTTTGCCAGAATGGTATAAATTAAATTATTTTCCAAAGTCATATTCATATGCAGAAGTAAGAACAGTAAATGAGGTGCAGAAATGAACGTTCAAACTATGTCCTTTGGATATTCTCCGAGATTATTTTTAAAGTTTTATTCTGATAATAAAAAGTTATGTTCAACATTTAGAATTCTAAGTATGGAAATGTATGGAGAAGAACATAGTTATTACCTTAATCCAGAGATTTGGAGATGATAACTGTAGCTTTTAATACTACATGCAAACATATATGCAGTCTATCTAAATTCAAATTTTGTATCTTACACACATGATTGATATATGTGAATATTGTCTGTATGTGCCTACTCTTATAAATTGATACCCTACCTTAATATAGAATATATTATCTACCTCCTTGCTTGTCTGAATTATACATCTATATTATTTTATTACTTTGTGTTAATTTCTGCTTGTACTGTATATTATTTAGTCGATTCTTTATAAGTTTTATATTCAGTATTATAGACAGTATTACAATGACTTTGTACATATGTATATATATGGCAAAGGCTTGTTATCACTTCTCATAAGAAATTTAATTCCAAATTGAATTCGCTATTTAAAACAGGGCATGTTTTTAAGGCCTTTCAACTTGAAATAGCATGTTTTTCCTTGAATAGCTGTACAGATTTATAATCCCACCAGGAGTGAAAGAAATTATAATTTTCTTTACTTTTGCCACCATCAAAGATGCATTGATTATGTTTATTCTTTGTGAATATTCAGTTCAAGTACTTTGCCCATTTTTCTACTGAAGTACCTGTTTATTTTTTTTCTCATTAACATATTCATGTGATATTTTAAGATTACTCTTTTTCATCTGTCATGAATATTTCAAATAGTTTTCCCACTTTATTGTTTGCCTTTTATTTTGTTTAGTGTTTTCTATCATACAAATAGCTTACATTTTATTTTTATTTCTTTAAATTCACTTTTAGAAAGGCACCTTTTCTGCCTAAGAGTATAAATATAACAGCTTTTATTTTGTACTAGTATACCTTGTTCATTTTTTACTGTAGCTTTTTGCTATTGTGAATTGTATGCTTATGTTTCTCTCCTTTTGACCTATTAGAGAACTTTGTCTTTGATTATTGCTGTACCTATTTCCATTCCTAAATTTTAAATAAATAAAAAAAGCAGCTCGCCTTAACATTTCAAATGATACTTAACCAAAAGTCCCTCTTCACTCTCATCCTTTTTCTTGACAGTTGGAATGTGTGTGTCAGTGTTTCATAAAACATGGATTATAAAAGTCATGGGTATGTCTGTGGTTCACCGCCGCTGGGATTCTTCGATGGGTTTTTCTTTGCCTCTGCTGGTTTGAATAGCCCCACAGCACGAGAACTACTAGGGACTTTGTGTTGTTGATGAGTCCCTGGAATTTTATTTCCTCTAAAACTCAACTGGGATTAAAAAACAGGCTGTGGCTAAATTGATCATACAAACCTCCCTGTTCTGGAAACGAGAGTTTGCGTGATCATTTTTAACAACTCTTATCAATGATCTCTTGCACACTAAACTTTGAGAACAAAGGTTCAAGAATCTACCTGTATATTTAAATCTAAAAGTCGGCAGAGTTGTGATAATATAAAATCAGTATTTTATGTTGTGTTTCACTTTGAAAATAAATAAAACTGAACAATGTCCCATTTTGCCATAATTTCAAAGTTTAATTTAGAAAAAGGCATTGTATATGTCTTAGTTACATCAACTACTTGAGTATAACTTAGAATCTTTTGTTTAATTGTATACATCTATATAGACAGCCATTTACAAGCAGAGATGATGTTCATTATTAACTATTTTTGTCTTCTTTAAGCCATATAAATCTTGATGATCACTCTTTTTTGAAATACTAAAATATAAACCTCAACTTTGACACTGTTAATAAAATCCCTTTCTCCAAGCGATCAGTGACTCCAGAATATCTTTTGTTAAACTAAGATTCCTAACTACAAGTGTCCTGCTTAATTATAGCTTGCTGATGTTGATAATGAAAAGTAAGCAGAACATTAGAATAGATTTCAGTCGGATTGTATGGGAGGGTAATGTAAATGTGAATAAATCTCAGACTAATAAATTTGCCCACTATGTGGGACAACTCCAAATAAAATTATCTTCAAAAGCATTTAAAAAATTATATTTTCCAAAATTGTGGTCTTATCAACCATATATATATTTTTAGTTTTAACTATGTGAGCTATTTCATTGTAGCTGTGGTGTTTTAAGTCACAATATGAATAGAATTCTACCAAGAAAACTAACTCAACTGTTACAAGCATTAATAATGTTTTTCACAGGAACCTAGCATATAGAACAGTTAACCTATAAGGTTTTTTTTTTGGTGTATTTATTCTCATGTCCTTAACCTGAGTAGTAACTGAATTGCATGTTTCTTTGACAGGCTTATGCAGGCAGAGATCTGGAGGAGCAGTTGCGTTCAGTGTCCAGTGTAGACGAGCTCATGACCGTACTCTACCCAGAATATTGGAAAATGTACAAGTGTCAGTTAAGAAAAGGAGGCTGGCATCATGCTAGAGAGCAACCCAACGTCAATACGAGGACAGAAGAGACTATAAAATTCGCTGCAGCCCATTATAATGCAGAGATCTTGAAAAGTAAGTACAGGAAAGAAAATCCACAATAAACTTCATATATCAAACCGGGAGTTAGCAGTTTGGTACTTTAATTTCAGCATTTTGTACCACTGATACCTTCAGAGCTGTTCATCATGAAAAACAAAAATTCATAATTTTATTTAGGTATCACATGATGTCAGTTTGACTGACTAAGATGATTTCTTGAGATAATAAAGAACGTGCATGCATATGATCACACTTCAGTTAATTTAACTGTGATATTCTGCTGTAAAATATTAAAAATATATAGAAATATTTTTACGCACTGTAGCAGTAGACATTTAACACTCTATATCCTACAAAATGATTTACATAAATTTTAAATCTGGTTTAAATCTAAGTCGCCCTCACCCACCTTTTCATATATTGCTAGTTGATTGCTGGCTCAGTCACATGGCTTGGAGCTTTGTAAAGTTGCTGAAAATCCAGCAGAAAACTCACAGATTATTAGGATTTAAAAATATTGCCTAGCACAAAATGGTGGGCTACTTTTCAAAGTAACTCCATTTAGCTGTTAGATATCCATTGCTATAAATGTTTGAAATTGCAAAAACTTACAAACAAAATGGCGCCATGGTTAAAGGAACAGTAACTTGGGTCCCTTTACCCCAGAAATTTTATGCTAAGAGAAACAGAGGAGAAATAAAATGGAACATTTGTATTGTGTAGTTAGGAATCAGCAGTGTTAGAAGTAAACCACTACCTCACTGGAAATAAGAGTCCAAAAGAGAATGAGAAAATAGGAAAAGTTTAGTCTCCTAAAAAATCAAATTTCAGGTCAGTGTCCCAGTTGATGGAAAACATTCCAACATTTCAAGTAGCTACCCCCACACCATTACCCAGACTTGTAAACAGCCTGCCGGGAAACAATTTTTGAACTGAATCGAGCACCATCATCATCTTCTCCTTTATATCTGAATTTGAAGAGAAGAATGCAATCAAACGGTTGACAGTGAACTACCTTTAAATGATTGTCTTTTGACTGTACAAAGCACAAATTGATTATAGAAATCACAAAAACAGATACACAGTAACACGTGAGAATGACTCACCCTTTGCAAGGCATGACAATCTATATACGACAGTTTCATTTTCTTGAATAAAGAAAACCAAGCTGAACTGCTGTAGGATGTGGGTATAATTTTCAGAAAGCAGGATGCTCTTTCAGTTTTTAGCAGAAATAAGGCTGTTGTAGAAACATCTCTGCTGCTCTGTTCGGTGCATGGCTTCCTAGTTCGCGGGGCCATCTACAATTCTGTCAGCTCTTTCATTCAAGTTGTGTATTGTATTTTGATCTTAACATCTGAAATCAAATGTGTGTGACTTCAACTGCCATGGCCTCCCCCCTCGGTGGCTTCTCTATAACTTATGGCCTTCCCTATGACTCGACAGGTATTGATAATGAGTGGAGAAAGACTCAATGCATGCCACGTGAGGTGTGTATAGATGTGGGGAAGGAGTTTGGAGCAGCCACAAACACCTTCTTTAAACCTCCATGTGTGTCCGTCTACAGATGTGGAGGCTGCTGCAACAGCGAGGGGCTACAGTGCATGAACACCAGCACAAGCTACCTCAGCAAGACGGTAGGTGTTCGCTCTGCCTGCCCTGCACCCCAGAACCCCCCTCTTTTGCAGAGACTTTGCCTAAGCTCCCGGCCCTTAAAAATAGCAAGATTGTATATCCTGTAGGGAATGAAGTTAATTATGCAATTATGGTTTTGATGCAGTAATATTGCTGAGAAAGTAATTGATGCTTTATGACCTCTGTTTCCTAGTAACAACAAAGCCAAGAGGAGATAAAAGGTATACACACCTGTGTATCTCTGTACATATAGGTATAGGTGATGTAAATGTGTATCCGTATGCACACATCGTACTCTTTAAGGCTAAACACGTGCATTTGACAACGAAATACCTGTAAATGATTGTCTTGATGACAGAGAGCACAAGTTATATATTAAAACTATACAAGGCCATGTATGTGTTCTGTGACTTAGTCGTATTGCATTGAAATAAACCATCACACTTAATATAAAGTGTACATTTCCAGAGGTTGGAACCTATAACCCCCTTTACCTCCACAGACATCATTTGGAAAAAGTTCCTAAAACTCTTACCTTCCAAAGCAAAGGAAATTACCCTGACGTCAAATCCCAGGTACTCTGAATTGCCTGTAAAATCCCTCCCATTAGATCTTAAGCTTCTAAATAATAGAACCTAGTTTGGGTCCAGGATTTTCAAAGCAGATGCCCAGAGCTGCCTGGACTTCCAGGAGGGGGAGGCAGGCGCTCTGGCCCTGGGGCGCTCTCCCACTCCCGTGTGCTGCCAGCTCTGCTCGGGAATGCTGCAGAACCGCCGGCCAGCCTGCTGCACACGTCCTTCTGAGGGACAGAACCCTGGTGACTTGAAAGTCCTCTCCAAGCTGTTTTTAATGAGTTGGAATGGCATCACCATCTGGCAGTTTTCACAACTGTCCTTTGTCCTTTGGAATTAACATCATCAGGAGTCAACAGTTTCTAGCATATGGGTCTTTCATTGATGTCCCAGTGCTCTTTGACTTTGACCACGTCCAAATGTCTGCCACTGACTTCCTCCGTGGAATCATCTAACACAGCTATCTCTTGATCTTGTGGTGCTTCCAATCCTAGTCCCCAGGAACCTTTGCACACTCCTCAAGGTTTTCCTGGCTTCCTGGTGTCCTAACTTAGGCTCTCATTCTGCACATCTCAAGTCAACTATCGCATGTCTCAAGGAAGTCTTTGAGGGTTATTTTTCTGACCTTGTTAATTAGACCTATTATTTTGCTCAACTGTTTTAAAGTCTGCCGCACTTTTCTTTCAAAGCCATTACTGTTGCCTGTGCTCACAAACTGCAGTTTATAATTATCTAGTCATCAGTCTCAGGGATTCACAGCTGCTCTCTAGGCCTTATCTGCTGAAGCAGATTTTAAAGCTCCTTCATGAAGATTAATAATTGAATCATCTGTGTTAACTTTTTCATAAGCAAATACCAGTTGCCCAGTGAAATAGTATGCTGTAAATTTTAGCTTGACCTTCTTAAAAAAAAAAAAAAAAGCTGTTTAATAGATGGGAGAGCTAATTCTACCCTTTTTCTTACCATAGTTAATATGAAGAAAATCCACTCTCTCCTCACTTACTTTGGGTTTACCAAACACATGCTTGCTTTATGTATGTGCCAAGTAAATACCAGGAGACCCTGTAGGTAAAATCTAAACTTGAGGAACAAAATGTAGATTGTTAGTAAACAGAATAAATAAATTTAGCCTTCGGTTAACCATTATTGGTTTTTCTGTGACCACTGAGTTTATTCTCTGCATTGGTCTAATTAGTTTCAGATTCACCTAATTGGTATCAGCATGAAAGTCTTTATTCAAGGGTAATTATTCAATAACGTACAAGCCTTTATTTCAAGTTCAAGGCTTCAAAGGGCTTGGGCTTCAGAAATTAAAGTCTGAAGGGTAATAAGAATATTTACTGCTATGTTGAAGGTACATGTTGGTGAAACAGAATTGGGCCCAGTGTTTCCATTACTTAATATCCAAATACAGAATTTTCTTTTCATAAGAAACTAAGTCTACCTTACACCGTAGGGAGTCAGTTCTTTTACTTCCAGCTACACAGATTTTAGTACTACCTTTGTTGTAGATTTTAATATTGATAATATTGATTTTATCTTGTCTCCTAATCATGTGATTACATGAAAAATCAGAACTTCCTACAGAACTGTTGATGTCTCTCTTTCCTGATTGTTCATTTATGTTGTTTCAAGATTTGATAGCTTTTAATAGCTTGATATTTGCAATAATGGTATTTCTTAACAATTCCAGTCAGTAAAACTGTAGTGTCCTTATATGTATGTGTCATCACTAAAAACATCAGAACAGTTTTCATTTTAGCATCACAATGTGTTAAACATTTACAAATATTTGGAACTAAATATTCGAAGTGGCTTGAAAGTGGGGACTTGGTCCTCAAGACGCTGTTTCTGGCTCTGCACACTGTCCTTGCGTCTCCTCTCCGTGCCCTTCCTGGCCAGCAGGCTCCAGGCTCTTGCCAGTGCAGACACCCACCACCTTCTCCGGCTCGAGATTGGCTTTTACTCTGACAGGTCAAAGCTGATCTGTGACACACTGGAGTTACCCTATTTTCTCCCCCACCCTGCCCTCTCCACTAAGCCAATAAATAAGTCCTTTTCTTTTTCCAGCATTCTCTGTGTCAGTTAATGAAAGTTGTCCAATCCAAGTTATTCTTCCTTTCACTTAAAGCCCAATCAGTAATTCCTGTTAAACTTGGAAGACACCTCTAGCATCTACCCCCTTGTCTCATCTGCTGACCTAGTCTGGTCTAGACCACAGGCCCCTCCCCCTGGAACACCACCTGCATCTGGCACCTTCTGGCCCATTCATCTGTGATGCTCTAGCAGTGACTTTTCTTTTCTAAATGATAAATCAGATACTGCTAACAGCTCATAGTAACACTACATTGTCGACACCGATTCAGCATTCAGCAGTATGTTCAGGAGGTGGCCTTTTCTTTTCTTCTTTTTTGAGCTGGGCTTTTCTAACTGTCTGACTCAGTGTCTCACTGGTTGAAGCAAGTGCTCTGAGCTGTTAGGGATCTTGAATGGTGCTTTTCTTCAGCTGCCTTATTCAGGTTAAGTCCTTTAACATTCACTACTAGACACTCATCATTTGGTCGCTACCTAAATCTTTATTACATGCTACAACTGGCACTGTTCTCTCAATTATTCCTTTCCACCAGTACCCCAATTCTTTTTTTTTTAACATTTATTTATTTATGTATACAAGAACTGGGGCACAGGCCAGAGCTGTGGGGGGTGAGAGGATTCACCCCAGACAGAGTGGGGAGCAGAACAGGCAGAGCTAATGAAATGTACTGCTGAGGGGAGCAGCAGGAAGGTCAGGAGAGGTCTGCTTCCTGGCTGGGGATCGAACTCATGCTGCAGTGGCTGCAGATACTTCACAGTGCTGTGCTTTAACCCATGGCACAACCAGGAGGTCCCACCCCAACACTTTTATTGCTTAAATTATGTCGATGTATCTTGCCTCTGAGTCATTAACAGTGTTTATATCTGAAACATCTCACAAACACACACACTCTGACTTTTAGCTAATTCCTACCATGGAGACTCCTTAGGACTATACTTAACTGCATGACACCCTCTCCCCTGCTCTGATGGCTCTCTTTACTGGCCACTTTTAGCATCTTTGCCTTTTCTGCTTGTCAGATTGTTTTACTCGCTAGCTCTGACCGTCATGAAACTAGAGATCAATTATGCTGTTGCCCAAGGGCACAGCACAGTAGCGACCACGTGTAAACTCTTGGCACTAAATCAAGAAAACTGAACTAAAAGGAAACAGATTCAAAAGTAAAGCTTTGAATCTGCTGGCTTTGGAGCATCTGAGTGGTGTGTGAGTGGAGAGACCAGAAGAAGGCGGGGCCCACAATTCTAGAGTTACAGAGTGGCAGCTGGATCTTAACATGGAGCTTTGCTGGAAAACGTCCCATTGGTAAATGTCATCTCCAGCGCTGGTGAGGTCGTTAATGCTTAGACTGTCATGTGTCAGAAGAGAAGAGCAAACCCCAGGCCAAGAGAGTCAGCGATCACTCTACACCATGTCTGGAGAATCCGTTCTCTAAAAGAATGGTGCTTGGGGAACTTCGCAGGCCCTTCACACTCTGCGCAGCATGGGAAACTCACATTTCTCAAGTAATTAAAAGTAGTGTAAAGTGCCATGATTTCAGGAGAGCTATCAGCACACCGGTTTGTGGAAGCGCATGTGGGGGCTTACCCAGCAAGGCAGAGTAAGACAGGGAAGTCCAGAAGACAGCGTTTCCATGGCAATGTGACACTTGACTCTTCCCTGCAATATGAAAAAAAGCTGACATCCTTGTCTGAGTTTTTCTTCTATTATATTATCTATCCAGTGTAAATGCGATGATTTCTTTTAAAACATAGAAAGGGAGTTTCTTACTGCTCTGTTTTCTGTAGGTACAAAAAGAATTGTTTCATTAAAGTTATTCCACGCACATCTTTCAGCAACCAAAGTCACCAGTTGGTACAATATAAACTGTAAGGACAATGTACTTTAAGTAATGTAAAACCCAAGCGTTTTACAGAAACTTCATTGAAATGTTTTATGGAGCTCAGCGAAAGGCAGGTTATCGCAATGCGAGCAAACCAAAGTCAGCTGAAAGTAAAACCATATGAGCTGAACATTCCAGAGTGAACTAATCGATAACAACTGCCTCACAGTCCTCCCCCAGCAGCGGAGCGGCTCTGAGGTCAGCGGAGGTGGAGGCGGAGAGCGCTCTCTGATGTCTTTCATAAACATACATGTCCGCATGTTTTCCTAATGGACGAATACTTAAGAGCTGTAACCAAAAATTAAGAAAATGGATTTTGCGGAAGGTAAATTATGTCATAACTGAAGCAGAAACAGGAGTCATCTGCTTACCAGGCAAACAGTTTGATAACACAGTTATTTAAATGGCTTTATTTACCTTATGCGCTTTACCAAAATCAGAATGAATTTAAAAACT